CCTCCTACCACCTACTGTACCACTATCTACCCCCCAACACCTCCTCCTACCACCTACTGTACCACTATCTACCCCCCAAGATCCCTCCTACCACCTACTGTGTAGCTACTCTACCTCCCCGCCCAGCATCCACTCCTACGCACCTACTCTTACAACCGCTATCTACCCCAACACCACTCCACCACCTACTGTAGCGCTATCTCACCCCCAACACACCTCCTACCACCTACTATTACCACTATCTACCCCCAACACCACCTCCTACCACCTACTGTACCACTATCTACCCCCCAACACCACCTCCTACCGCCTACTGTACCACTATCTACCCCCCAACACCACCTCCCACCACCTACTGTACCGCTATCTATCAATCCCTCACCCCCAACACTACCGGAAGCCGCAGACAGTGTGAATAGGATGAGAGGAAAATTCCAGTGCACTTCAAGGTCGACCGTAAAGCGATATTTCACAAACGAACGACGCCGGTGGCAAATCGCATTTGCGCTCGCACGCTATTGCTACAAAGCATCGACGTGCACTGCGATGCGATCGTACAATATTAATATTTATTATTATTAATATTAACTACTATGAATAATATTACTATAATTACTATTCATACTATTAATAATATAAGGAGCGCGCTCGTGTGGACTCACTGATCCCTTATCTGCGACGACTGTCGGTGGCGCACCCTACCTGTAGAAAGTTGCTTTTTCGCAGTTCTGGCACGGAGATACGGCCCGTCCATGACCGATTCACGCAGTAGTAGATCCTAGCTATCACCTGCAATGCGCAAAATCACAGGTGAATGCGGCCCAACCGAGATGCTACAAATACGGACTCTAAAAAGCTAAAGACAGAGAGAAGAAAAGTGAAAACGTAGACCTACGGTACCCCGCGGAACACTTTACGCCATAAAATGCAATGAGGTGTCGCTTGGATATGGGCACTAAATAATGCAGCAAGTTATAAATAAGTTGCAACTGCACAAGAAAATCTCATTTCAAAACCCATGTACACACAAAATATCACAACTAGCAATCACTTAAATGACAAAACGCATCAATTTTTAAACTAAGCGCCTGTACAAAGCAGGGTAATCCAACCAAGTAAAATATCCGAACGTTTATTACTTACATTTCAAAATGTCGGCCTGCTTTTAAGTTAATGCAAAATTAATCGACGCTCTGAAGCATCGCCGTTGCTCAACACGCCATGGCAACAAACCAACGAGCTAAACCGAAGCATGCTTACCGTATGTACATATCTACTGTGGAATTCTTTGGCTTCGCTAAGAAACGACAAGCCAGGATGCGTGTCGACAACATCCTGGAAGCAGCAAACACGGCGTCGTTAGCCACCGGCGGGAAGCTGTGCGGCCGAGGCGAAGAGCTTCAGTTGTTACTATTTTTGCGCGCGATTCACATGCTCGCCAGCTTGCTCACAGACTGCTTACAACAAACCGATCAACAGGAGGAGAAGGTGCCGCCCCTAATTGCTTATCTCAGCTCTCATCTGTCATGCCACAATCTTCTTCTTTAGCACTATATTTACCCTACCCCATATCCCGCGCACTCTACATCACCTGAAACGCGTCTACGCTAAAACGTTCGCTCCCTGCCCTCTTTCCCGTGCCCGCCTCACCCACTTTTCACTCTTAGTCATCTATGCTAGAACTTTCACTCCCTCTTACTCAGCCCTGTATCGCAGGTCACAGAGAAACTCACACTCTAAGCCCGTATTCTGGTATATTCCCAGGGGGTGGAGTCGATTACTAGTCCCACTCCTCCACCTGACTCTGCAGCAGTGCAGCAGTGATTCACTTCCACAGGCTGAGCTGACACACGTACACAACACGGAGGGTCTGTGCACACACGCACACGCGCACATACGGTCACACCCACACATACACGGGCTGTCCAGACACCCACATAGGCACGCACGAACACACGCATGTACGCACGCACGAACACACGAACACACACACTGTGGCCTGTTACTACTGCACTAATTACGTCGATATCGCGTGTGTGAATCAAGCAATGTACTCAAGCAAAGCGGCATGACCACACAGAGAGAAAGAAAGAGAGGGAAGAACAGAGGCAGGGAAGGAGAAGAGAAAGACAGAAGGAGGGAGTGAGGAAGAGAGAGAGAGAGATGCAAAAAGAGATAGAGTAAATGGGAAAAATAGAGAAAATTGAGTAGGAATGGGGGATGGCAGAGAGAAGGAAGAGGGGGACGTAGGGAGGACGGGGGAAGAGGGAGACGTAGGGAGGACGGGGAAGAGGGGAACGTAGGGAGGACGGGGGAAGAGGGAGACGTAGGGAGGACGGGGAAGAGGGGAACGTAGAGAGGACGGGGGAAGAGGGAGACGTAGGGAGGACGGGGGAAGAGGGGGACGTAGGGAGGACGGGGGAAGAGGGGAACGTAGGGAGGACGGGGGAAGAGGGGAACGTAGGGAGGACGGGGGAAGAGGGGTGAGAATGAAGTTGTGAAAATACTGCTATGCAACACACGACGGCATGCACACCACACAACTACACTTGAATGTAATTTAAGATAATTTATTAGGTGACAGAGAGAGAAGATAAACATTTATAATGACGTCGACTAGTAAAATACGACTTTATTTATGACCAATTTATTTTCTGAGGTGCCAGAGTGGCAGCAGTGATGCTGATATGATGATAATGCTTACCTGTATGAGAGGGAAAAAGTCCTCTGGCACTAAACAGCTAGATCCAGTTTTCGCTAACAACAGTACAAACTTGCTTGCATCATCATGACAGGAAGAGATAAGTCTAAAATCGCAATACAGAAATATCAAATTTAGACAAAAAATGGCATTGATGCAGGAATCCGATAACATGAAAAAAACAGCGAAAATGAGAATATTGACAACAAATGTGTTGAAATATATGATAACGACACCGAATAACATGACACTATCTGTAGCATGATACTGACAACTAAAAGAACAGAATAAGAACCCCAGTAGCACAACGCCAAATGCTGCTTGTGTAAAAGAACAGTATCATGGCACCGGAATTTCAGTAACACCATAGAGACATGCAAGAGCATGATGCAGCTGTTCCAGCAGCATGATACAGACAGGCAACGTGTCGTCACGGCTTGATCAGTAGCACGACGCACACAGCAGCAGCAGCAGCAGCAGCAGCAGCAGCAGCAGCAGCAGCAGCAGCAGCAACATGGTGGTAGGTGACTCACTTCTTCCAGAAGGCCGTGAAGGTCTGCACCGTGACGTGTCCATGCTTCTCGCCTCCCGCGGCCAAGTAGAGCGGCACCTTCCAGTACAGCGGGCACCCGCAAGCCTGCAAAGTTGCAGAGAGATAGCTGTCACACACGCCCGCAGAGAAGTGGCGCAATGCTAGTCGCCGAGGCTAAAGCGAGTGGACTGAGGATTCGAACAGCTGTGAGAGATTCGCAGCTGTGTTCAGGAGTTGAATGCTCTTGGCGTGAGATTACAGCGCAGAGATTTTACACTGTTTAACTTCATAAACGCTTTTCAAGGCAGGATAGAGTAGGGATATTATTTCCCTTATAATATTATTTCGCTTTTTAGTATCTATTTCCCGAGTTCTGTATAAGAATACATTAATGCTGAAAGGGTGAAATGATCTTTATTCGCGAATAAGGCAGATAAGGATATCAAGGATGGCTGACAACACAGACCCTCCCTCGCAACATACTGTCTGACCCCTGCAACATTCTGTCTGACCTCTCGCAATATACTGTCTGACCCTTGCAACATACTGTCTGACCCCTGCAACATACTGTCTGACCCCTGCAACATACTGTCTGACCCCTGCAACATACTGTCT